GAGACCTGTTATGTTATAATTATTGTCTTGTTGCTGCATTTATTTTGTTTGGGAAAACTAATCCTGAGTCAGTTAAAAGTCAGGGAATTCTGTAAATTATGTAAGACTGTAGAAACCCTGTATAAAATAACTATGTATAATGATTCTCTAGAAAAGTCACATTATATTGATAGTATTATCTTGTATAAAGATACCGTGACTCTAAAATAAAAGTTATCCATTTGTGACATTGACTTCTGTCTTTTGATTTATCTCAAGCTTTTAACCTGTCAGGTTTTTTTTTAAAGATTTTTAACATTACAGTTTATATTTTTCCAAGCACACAACAGTTTAAAGCAAAGTTTAGTTTGGAAAAAATGTGCAGGAAGGATTGAAAAGCATGTTAACACAGTAATGTAGGCTTGAGTTCATTATCTGATGCATGCATATACACACCAGGAACCTGTAAACTTAAAAAATACTGAATTACAAAAAAANAGACATCATGACTGAGCAGTTGGGTTTGGTTGGGTTTTGACCAGAGCACAATAGTTGGGACCAACCAAGTAATCAAGGTCAGACAAGCAGATGTTTTAAGCCAGGGAATCCAAGGTTGGGGAACAGCTTCTGGCAGGCAAAATAACTGGACAAAAAGAGAAAGAAAAACAAGCAGGTTAGATTTTACCAGAATGTTTAGAATAAGAACATGGTCTGAATGTCTTACCACTGGGATAAGACAGAAATCTGACGCTATGCAGTTGGTGGATCCATCCTTAAATGGCTGCAGCTGCTGATGACTCCCAGGTGTTTGGGTCACAACAGAAGAGCAGAGCAGTTATGACAGGTTTGACTCAACCTCTGTTGTGTTGTCCCTGCAATCATATCGGTCCCTCATATCGGTTATCCAAAATTATCCATGAGATTCTTGTCACCATTTCTAGGGAGGAGAGGGGAGGATGAGATGTGAGACATTTTTATGGGTTCCCTCTTCTGTGTAATAACTAATGACTGAGTTGGCTTAATTGCTAAAGAAGCATTGAAATGCCTCAAAATGCATTGAAATGGAAAAATCTGTGGATAGTTAGGAGTTTTAAGAAAATAGTTCTCAGTCAGTGGCAGAGGGAGTTGGATTCTAAGAAGACAAGAAGGCATGATTGAAAAGCTTGTGAGTGGACCAGAGATAACCTGGGAAAACAACTAAACAAGTCTACTTTGTTGAATGATGAACTCTACAAACAATTTGTTGGGAAAAAAACTGAAACTGAAAGTTAAAGGCAGCTTTTCTTCTTGTCATTTTACTTGCCTATCTCTCAGATTTAAAAAAGAAGACATCAGTGTTTCACCAGTCCTGCTGCTTGAGAACAATATTTTTAAGAAATAGAAAAGAAGTAGAGCATAAACAGTGAAACTGGTCACTAATGAAAGGACATGATTATATGACAAGTCCTGCATTAGAGCGAACATTATTCTGTTCATTTAACTTGAAGTCTCTTGCCTACTGTTTCCCCTGTCAGGATGCAGGTTTAACTGGAACTGGTGCTACATTTTTTTACATGGCTCCAACTTTAACTATTCACCTCTGCAACAGTTACAACATAATGTTAGCTTAGCATGAACAGAGCTGCCAATTTAAACAACCTTTATTAAAAAAAAAGAAGAAGGGAAAAAAAAAAAAAAACAGGCCAACATGGCCATGTGTTTTTCTTGCCTTAAAATGACCCAAGATCTTTTGAGGCTACTCAAACCTCACAGGACTTTACAGTATTATCAGGTGCTGGGAAATGGATTTGAACTGCATCAAATTTTAAGTTACTTTTCTGTTACGGAATTGTTCACTACCATTTAATACAAAATCCAACTGTCGAACAATAATTAAAGACAGAATTCATCTAAATAAACCAGGTTGTCTGTAAAGAAAAAAAAAAGATTATAAAGTAATCCCTCCTCTTTTTAAAGCACATGACCTGTATTACCTGATTACCTGCATTTCAGTATTTCATGTATAAAGATCTTATTCAGTTAGGGCTTTGCTATTACAAAAAGTAAAATATTAAACTAAAAGTCTACAATAAATACTTTGACCTTGTTAAGGTCATTTGCTATTTTATCATAGACCTGTCCACTATTTAAACAAAGATAAGCTTTAAGGTCAATTTGAACTTTTCTGCATATTTCTAAATAAAAGGTAAGCAATGGTTTCTGTGATCAAGCTTTAATAAGTAAGAAAATCTGAAATTAATTCTCCAAAATGTTTCATGTACTTAACAACCATGAGATATGTGTGACACCAAAATGAGAAAAAGTGTATTTCTCCTGTGTCTGTTTTTTCTCTGGAGCAAAAAGATGTACTAAAGTTCGATTTAGTCTCCTTCCAAGTTTCAGAAAAGATTCCAACAAGCTATAAGATAATTCTTAGACTTCCTGAAATTTTGAGGCTCCTCGTGATCCAGAGAGAGAAATCAGAGAGCTCTCTCGATGAACTAAGTATGCACTCATCACAGCCTCATTATTCTTTTTTGGAAAACATTAAACACATTATTATCCAAAGCCTTAAAATGTATTGAAAATGATAAAATATTCCCTACTATCTGCAATGGACTGGCAACCTGTCCAGGGTGGACCCCGCCTCTCACCCATAGACAGCTGGAGATAGGCACTAGCACCCCTCGGGACCCCAATCGGGATAAAGGGTGTCAGATAATGGATGGATGGATTTCCTACTATGAAACAAGGAGTCATAACATTATTACCAAAACCGGGAAAAGACACATTGATAATCTGATGTCAATAACTAGACCCGATGATCCTCTCTGCTGTTCTCACCACTAGTCTCACACTCTTCCAGTCTGAGGTGCTGCAACCTCCAAACCACACAGTGAGCCAGCTGGTCAGAATGCTCTCTAACGTGCTTCTGTAGAAGTTCCTGAGGATGTGTGGGGGCAGATGGGCTCTCCTCATGCTCCACAGAAAGTACATGTGCTTCTGTGCCCTGTTGACCAGTGAGGTGGTGTTTACAGTCCAGGTGAGGGTGTCTGTGATGTGTACCCCCAGGAATTTGGTGCTGCTGACCATCTCTACAGCTGAGCTTTTGATGAGCAGTGGAGCGTGGCCGGTTCTTCATGAAGTTGACAACGATCGCCTCCATCTTCTCCATGTTCATGATTAGGCCGTTATCTCTGAACCAGCCCACCAGCTACACCAGCTTCTGTATGCCTGGTCAGTGTTGTTTTTGCCAACGATGAGGATGACGCTTTCATTCAATTTCATTGAGGCTCCTTTTTTCCATGATGATAACAAAAACTGATGAGCTAAACATGGATCAACGACACGAGTTGAGACTAAATAAAAATTTGTGGATTGTTGGTCAGACGTCAAAATGCATCATTGTGCTGTAATCAGCTAAGCAGTATCAGCTATGCTGCTGCGTCATGTTTGACCCTGCTGCCCACCTGCCATGCAGCGTTGCACATGCTGCAGGAGCAAAGATGGATAATAGCAGCAGTGGCAGGGTCTGTGAAAATAACCCGGAATGGTCCTGTACTGCACGTTTAACTTTGACAAACTCTGCTCTGATCTTCCATCTGTGCTTCTGTAGAAATGCATCTTTGTGCATGCGGAGCTCTGAGTCTGCGCTTTATGCTCCACTCTGATGGTTTACTCTCAGTAGTATGGCTCTTCCTGCTCTCGCTACTTAATAAACTATATGGGGCTAATCATCCTCCGCCAAGCGTAAAAAATCCCTTCACTATCAATATTTAATTTTTTCCATCTTACAAGAGGTGATACTAAATATTCTTTAATTTATACCAAAAGGAATCCCTAAATTATATCAAAATAAAATATTTCATTGTATTTTTTTTTTCTGGATAAAGAGCCAGGTTCATTCAATTTAGGTCTGGATTGCCATTGTACTACAAGGCAATTATCTAGGTTCTCTGTGTTTTTTTATATCAAAAACCTGGAAATTTAAATCTACTTTGACCCTTCAGCAGCAATAACAAAGGGGTAAAATGAAATAAAACAATAATTGCCAAACTAGAAAGAAGAATGTTTTTGTTCTTTGCTTTTTTGGAGTAATGACGATTTTATTGGTCTGTGTGTAATGCATAATTCATAGTAGATCAGGAAGTGTTTGCTGTATGATGGAAGCTCTGTATGTCTAAAACTATTCCTTTATTGTACATTTTGTTAGGATGTCTGTCTGCTATATTATCTAATAAGATGAGTTGAACTAGATTAGCTATTTTCACAGCTTTTTATAAAGTAGGGCATTATTTCATAAAAAGTTTTCTGCCCAACAGCAAAGATGAACTGCACGGTCGCATTCTATACCCAGCAATTGTATCTAGGCAAAAGCTGTCAGTCTGGTAAAGAATTATTTCATGGTTACCTTTTTTTGTAACATAAAACTAACTAAAACTAGACTAAAAATTTTTAAAGTTTTAGTCGACTACAACTGGCTAAAACTATCAGATATAATGACTGTTAATGACAATGTAATGACTAAAATGCGACTAAGACTGATAATAGTTTTCGTCTTGAAGACTAAGACTAACACTAAATTTAACATGACTGTCTAAAACAACAGTGGTCCTGGTCATTGTCATCTCTGATGAGGCCCACCATGGTGGTGTTACCTGCAGACTTCATGATGTGATTGGTGCTGAACCTGGGGACACAATCGTGTGTCTTTAGATTAAAAAATATCTATGTTTTGTTTCCATGTGCTGTTGTGTTGGAGTTTTACCAAGTTGCTTAACTATAAAATGCCCCAGCTAAATAATTACCCAACTTTATCTCATCTTCAGCTACAGTCAACAAAATCTGGATTCAGCCTGTTTGTAGAATCCCAACGCCCATTTTCTTCAGTTATACTATAAAAGAGGAGTTGTCATCCCAGGTAAAATAGTGTGCTTGAAGTGTTGTTGAAACATCTGCACAGAGTGAAGTAAGTACATTTAATATAGAAAAAGAAAAACCAAACATAAAGTGTAATTTGAACTTTGTGATTTTTGTTTAAGGCCTTTGCAAAAATGAAGCTGCTTTTAGCAGGAATTGTTCTCACCTTCCTCACTATATGTGACGCTCAGTGGTACATGTTTCCTGTTGAAGCTGCTCAAGGTAAGACATATGACCTACTATATAAGCAGAACCTTTTTAAGTACATTCATGGTTGTCACTGAAAGGGTCATTATATAATATGAACATTCTTTGTTTTGTTTTTTTTTCTAATCAGGAGCTCGTGATATGTACAGAGCCTACAGCGAAATGAAAGAGGCCAACTACAAAAATTCTGACAAATACTTTCATGCCAAAGGAAACAATTTAGCTGCGAAGAGAGGAGCAGGAGGGGAGTGGGCTGCTACGATTATCAGGTAATAAACAGAGTATAACCTTAAAATTATTGGAAATACATTTTTTTTAAGCTCAAACACTGAAAAGCAGATAGATCTTTTGTGTAGGTCATTAGGGTTTATACTGTTTTATAAAAATTTACTTTCTTCTGGATATGTGACGCATTAATGTAGAGACATGGTTAAGTGTATGCAAATTTACTGATATGTATTGGGCTTTTAAGATTTCTAAACAAAGGAATTCCCGTTCTTTATGGCAAAACAAAACTTATAAATTGATTGCACAAGTAAATTGTTGTGTGATTGTGTGATTTCACCTTTTGACAAAAGCAAGACTTAAAGTATTTTATGGTGTTCAATGAAGGACCCTAGAATTTTTGAACAATATAACAAAAAACAGGAATTAGGATTTCTCAATTTAAATAAAGCAAATTCTAAATAGATTTTTTAAAATGTGTATTTCTCTCTTTTCAGCGATGGCAGAGAGTGGTGGCAGATAAAAACTGGTCGTGGTGCTTCGGACTCAGAAGCTGATCAAGAAGCAAATCGTTGGGGTCGGAGCGGAGGAGATCCCAACCGTTACAGACCCCCAGGCCTACCTTCTAAATACTGAGAATATAATACGTGGTCTAATAAAACTCATGATAAACATGTATTTCTCCACTCATTTGTGATGCATGTTTAAGAATATAATGTATTTCCTTTGTTATTTCAGTTAAACTAAAACCCGATATGAGGACTTACATACATTAAAATGAGTTTTAGGATCTTGAATATTAGATGTATATAAAATAATCTCTCTAATAAAGTAATCTATGAACTAATAAAAGTAAAGAATATATCATATAGGCTAGAGACATAAGGATAACATAAACCCGAAACCCAATGAGTAATAAGATTGCACTGAGTCTTCATATAGGAACCTGAAGGTGATAAAAAAAATATACAAATTCCAGAGTAAACTTAAGGCCTATTTAACAAAAGTTGAATTCAGAAATCCAGGGCAAGAGATAGAGCCTGTCTTGACTTAGTGTGATCAGTGCATCATTGTAATGATATCAGAAGCCTAAGATACACATTTTCTAACCACTTCTCTAAACCAAAAACAT